ATTCAAGGTAAACAATCATTTAAAATGGTGAAGATGTAGCTAGTTGGGCTTTGGATTCATGGACGTAAGGCTTTGGTCTGAACCACGTAAATGTTGTGTTCTCTCTTCTTCACTCTCCATTCTCCATTCAATATATGTGCATGTATGCTCCCACGAATCTTAACACGGTATCAGAGCAAGGTTCACAATTTAGTATTTCATCGATGCAGATTTAGTATTTCGTCGTCGATGCATATTTAGTATTTCATCTCTCAAACATCCAGCCATTATTTTTTTTTTAACAAAAAAAAAACGAAAGGGCAGCAGCAGAGCTGCTATGCATAAAGGAGTTGTGGATCTAAGGTTTGTGGAATTCTCGAGGTTAGGGTTTTTGTGTGGTGAAAGAAAAGCTCGAATCCGAATCCTGAAAGGACTGGTTGGTACCTCCGATTGATTGTTTTGGTATCTGGCCAGGAAGAGTCAAAGGCTGCAATATCTCCCGTTATGGATGGTGTCTTAAGGGTGTTTAAGAATGTGGCTGGAGTGAATGAAGGTGAAGGTGATGCAGCTTCTAAAGTTGGCGTATGCTCAGTGCGACTGTTGGTTGCCTCATCACAAGCTATCAATTTGATCGAAAAGGGGGGAAGTCTCATCAAATTTGTGCAGGAAAGCTGTGGTGCATCAGTGCACGTCCTATCAAAAGATGAGGTTCCCTTTTATGTGACTTCTGAAGAAAGAATTGTAGAAATCCATGGACAGTTTCCAAAGGTTCTCAAAGCTCTTGAAGCAGGTGTGGGACACCTCCCCAAGTTTCTGGTTGATCACACTGTCATTCAACTTTTTGAAAAGAGCGTCACATATGGAGAACTGGTTATGAGAAGAATGAATTGCAGGCAGTAGTTTCTGATGATGTTCCTAAAGCTCTTGCAAAGTGGCATGATATGGGAATCAAGGTGTAGATATACTGCAGCGGTAGTAGGGAGGCTAAAAGGGTTATATTGGAGAATACAAAATTTGGAGACTTGAAAAAATATCTTTATGGATTCTTTGACACAATGGTTGGAAACAAGAGAGAGAGAGAGTAGCAGTGCCCCAGAGATCGTTGTATAGAGAGAGTTCCAGGTGCATCCTATTCGATGATCAAATCTTTCAATCCTAGTCGATAATGAAGTTTTTCATTACTTGATCATTTTTAATGATTGAGTTTTTGTTACTCAATCCTATTGGATTACTCCATCCTGTGTGATGATCGAGTTTCCCAGATCCTGTGTGATGATCAAGTTTATTCGATCCTATCTATTCTGGATGCTCATGTTTAATGATTGAGTGTTTTGTTAATCGTGTTGGATAATGGAGTTTTTCGTTGCTCCATCATGTGAAATGATTGAATTTCTTTCCGTCATTCTATCATGTCTATTGATCAAGTTTTTCGTTACTCAATCCCGGATGTTCCCGAGGCTTGTTGATCTGCCACAACAATCTATGCTTGTTGTTCAAGCAAATTGATCAATTTGAAGATCACTACTCATTTCTTAGTATTGTTCAAACTCCAACTACTTTGTCTCAAAGCATATTTAGTTTGAGGGAGAGTGTTAGGACATAGATATCTCGGGTTCATATTGATATACATCATTATGGATGTATGGGTATATATATCTTGATAAGATTAGGTATCTAGAAGATAAGAAGAGACCAAGTCAAAGTTATTTGGTCATCAAATTAGTTTGGTGATAAGGCTTCCTACTAATTACCTATATCTCCAAGAATCATATCATATTTATCTCCTATAATTGTGTGATTGTCTTCTATATATAGAGGTACTTATTGATGGAAACGATCATTCAAAATAGTGAAGTTGTGGCCAATTGGGCTTTGGATCCATGTACATAAGGCTTCGGCCTGAACCACGTAAATGTTGCGCTCTCTCTTCTTCTCTCTCCATTCTCCATCCGATGTCTGTGTATGTATGCTCCCACTAATCTTAACAATTTCTGCACAGAGAAGAGAGAGAGATAGAGAGAGAAAAATAGAAAAGAGATAGTTTTATCAGAGAGGAACCGAGAGCTTTATCTGTAGAGAGAGACAAAGAAGAGAGAGCTTTATTAGAGAGGAACAGAGTGCTTTATCAGAGGAAGCAAGGGTCTGGCGGGTTTTTCACATGAGGAACTTCCCCATCGAACTTCTCATTTTAAGTTCCAAATCAACGGAACTTTGTTTAAGCCTAAAGTGGGGGAAGATCAATAGTAACAGATAACTTACCATTTTAAACTACTAATATTTATCAAACACGGAACCGCTACAGTAACAGGTAACTTCCAAGTTTTTGGAAACAACTTCCTGTTATCAAACACGCCCTAAAAGTTATACGTGCAAGTCCATCCCCAAAAGTTTTCAAATCTCCCAAGACAAATGTATTTCTAATTTTCTCAATCTCACCCTTTTTAAAAATTTGAAAGTGCACGTCCTCCCAAAATTATTTCCTATTTTTCATTTCAAACCTTGAAGTAAAATTTGGAAGTGCATGGCTTCCCAAAATTATTTCTTATTTTTTAGTACAAACCTCCTTAAACTGATATCTAACAGATTTTACCAATTTTTTATTTATTTTAAGATCAATCTATCATCTCGGTAAGGGTAGTCTCGTTCACACAAAATCCCTACATATGAACACTCACTCTCTCTCTCTCTCT